ACCCGAAAATAGCCACCAAAACAATGGAGAACCAGAAAACCCATAACCCACCCCACCCCCCACTCCCACAACCTCCCCACGACCCCCCACGACCCCCCCACGATCCACGACCACGACCCCCCACGAGCCTCCCCCCTCCCCCCCCAAAAAAAAATAAACTTAAACACCGAAACAGCAAGAACCAACGACTCTGAAATTCCAGTGCCGTGCGAAGGCACCATGCTCGCAAGCCCAAGCCACGAGCCTCGGGCAGAAGCAGTTTGAGGGCTTGGGTTTTGTTAGGGTTTGAGGGGGGGTTTTTTGTGATTTAGGGTTTTGAGGGGGTTTAGGGGGTTTAGGGGTGTGAGGGTTCTAGGCCTCTCGGGCTCTTTGGGTTTTGGGCTTTGGGGGCTTCTTCGCACTTTTGGGGTTTTGGGCTTTGGGCTTTGGGGTGCTTTGGGGTGCTTTGGGGTGCTTTGGGGTGCTTTGGGGTGCTTTGGGGTGCTCTGGGGTGCTTTGGGGTGCTTTGGGGTGCTTTGGGGGTGCTTTGGGGTGCTTTGGGGTGCTTTGGGGTGCTTTGGGGTGCTTTGGGGTGCGTTGGGGTGCTTTGGGGGCAACACCAGGATGCCTATTGTACGATATGGGTCTTCACAGGTGGACAGTGCTCAGCGCAAAGCAAGGGCTTAGGAGTTCGAGAGTCCTGCCCAGCGTTTCGAAATTTACAGGGGTTATCTTAAACCCTAAACGGTTAATCCTAAACCCGAAACCCTTAAGCCTTAACCCTAAACCCTAGACCCTGATGTGGGGGCTCAAGCATCAAGCCCCTCATTTAAAAAGCAACCTGGCACTTTCAAAGAGCTCCGCGCCTCGCCCCGGGGCTGGCGGCCGCAGCTTCCATCGGCACAACCCGATGGCTGGGGGATTTTTTTGGGGGGAGTTTGGGGTTTGGGGAGTTTTGGGGGGAAGCTTTGGTTGGGAGTTTTGGGGAGCATTGGGGGAGCTTTGGGGTTCGGCCTTGAGCTCTCGAGGCTCTAAGACAGGGTCGGAAGGCTTAAGGTCTCAAGGCTTTTTGGGGGCTTCTGTCGGGGAGGGCTCAGAGACTTGACGCGCCTAAACCCTAAACGGTTCCTCGTGCCGAGGCCTGCTTTCCCACAAAGGCAAGTAAGGCGGAGTCTGAATGGATCAGGAAAGGTTGGGGCCTAGGGTTCAGAGCTGGGGCTCCGCAAAGTTCTCCTCTTCAAGAACAAGGAAGGCTCCGTGGGAAACCCACACCCGACACACGAAACCGCCCTAAACCACAAACCCTGTGGTGGACGCCCCGGGCTGAGGGTATGGGGTCTCAAGGGTTTCCGCGACAACTCCCTCCCCCCCCCCTCCCCTTGTTTCTGTTAAATCAACGTAGTCAGCGGAGCCTTGTCGATGGCCCACAAGTGTCCAACACCCCCCCCCCTCCCCCGATTGGTTTAACATGGAAGTATTCATTTACGGGGACCCTATTAATTTGAATATGATTCCTTTTCACTTTCATGATATTTGATTCGATTCCTGGTCATGTTAATAGGATTCCAAGAATTTCTTTCAAAATTGATTACAATCTTCTGATGATTAAAAGGATTCATATCCGAATCCCAGAGGAGGTATTTGTGTGGGTGGGGGGGAGGGAGGTTTTTTCGGTTAAGGGGTTGAAGGGGCTTAAGGAGTTCAAGGGGTTTAAGGGTTTAAGTTTAAGGGGCTTAGGGCTCAGGGTTTAGGATAAGGGTTCTAAACCCCCAACCCCCCCTCCCCCCCCCCCGCCTCAAAAAACAAAAGAACAACTTAAACCCCTCAGACCCACAAGGGGGGGGGGGGGGGGGGTTGGTAACGCTTCAGGGTTCCGCACCTCAGCCGCTCCTTCAGAATCTCAATCTCGGCCTGGACCGCTGAGAAAAAAGGTAGGGGTCAGAGCTTAAGCTCTAAGATTTAGAGGTTTTGATGTTCACAGTCTGGGGTTCGAAGTCTTAGGGTTCAGAGTTTAGGGCTTAGTGCTTTGGGGGCTCCTATGATGAGGCGCCGGGTTACTTGAAGGAGGACCAAGAATGAGGTCTACTTTCTGGCTCGCAGCCGGAACCTAGGGCATCAGGTGCCGTGCTAGGCTCAGCGCTCCTGATTCCCAACCAGGGAGCCAGGATACCTAATAAGGTTATTGAGATTCCTGAGTGACATTTCTTGGAGCCACAAACCTTCAAACCCTCGGCCCTCAAGCCTCAAAACACAGCGCCTTAACCTCCTCACCCCACCTTGCCAGAAGAAACCTCCACCCTTTGTTCTTGAGAGCCCAAGAACTACGCGTGCCCCGAGCTTCACACCCCGTGAACCCCGAAAACTGAAGATGCAACACGTGACGTCCCCAAGGATCGGAACCTTAGACTCAACCCTCCACCCTTCAAGATACTACAAACCTCCTGCAGGAGAACCAGCCCTCCCCAAACCCTAAACCCTAGACTGTCTGCTCTCCTGTTTCTGCTGCAGGTGGTCGGAGCCCGGCGGCACCTCGCCAGAGGCTTGCGATGCAGATCTCGGGTGGGGAACGGTTGAGGGCTGAGGGCTTGGGCTTGGCCCCTGGGATGTATAGAGTTGAGGGTTTTTGGCTTGTGGCTTACCCCACACTGGCGATGTGCTTGCTGTCGGGTATCCCCGCAGGAGTGGCCAGCCTCCGGTTTGATCCTACCTTTGCGGCGCATTTGTCGCACTTTACGTCCTTGATGCGCTCTGGCTGAGGGGTGCTTGTCAAGCATGTCCGCCACGCCCATGCGACGCGCGCTCAGTCCGCCACACGTGCCGGCTGACGGAAAGCAGCGTTTCGAAATCAGCATGATGCCGACATGCTGCTGCATGGTCTACTAGGGCTTGGAAGAAAAGCTGATACGCGGGCTGACATTCCTTGCTCGCGAGAGCAAAGGCCAGCGGGTTGAAGGTGCTCCGGAAAGCGCACACACACACACACAATGACATACACCCACTGTGGAGTCGCTGCAGAGTTGATGCATTCTGCACGGGTGAGGGGGGGTTGTTGTACAATGTCGGACATGTGCTGATGTCTTCGGGAGCTTAGCGGCTCGTGGCTCGAAAGATGTCGGGTTTACGGCTGCGTGCACTTGCAGGTTCAAAAGAAGGCACGGTAAGCCAGGCAGCCTGGCTTGAAAGTCCAACAAACTCAACAACATTCAACAGGTGCAGTCCCAGCCTCTGCCCGTAGTCGCAGCAACTCCTCCAAGGCCACAGAAGTTCCCCTCATTCAGGGTTTAGGGTTTAGGGCTTAGGGATTCACATCCGTGGGTGGCGGACTCCTGCTGCTTCGGGAGAAGAAGAAACCTGAACCCCTAAACCCTCCAAAGGATCCTGGCGGTGGTCCGTTCGCATCTGGGACAAGAGCTCGTCGGTCCTGGTCTGGACCTTCCCACATGTGAGGGTTTAGGGCATGGACTTCAGAGTTCAAGGTTCCAGGTGGATTGTGGTACGGAGCACTGAAATTTGGTGAGCCCTCCTAGAGCTCAAACCCCCCAGAAGGGAAACTAAAGAACCAACTCCCATCATCTTGTCAGTTCTCAAAGTCATGGTCCCTTTAAATTTTCGGGGCCGCCTTGCTACTATGGGCTTGAAATCAAGGGGTGTTGCATGAGACTGGTTGGGGGGGCTACAGAGCTTGGGGGCTTTGGGGTGTTTGGCCTTAATGTTAGGGTCTGAGGGTTTAGGGGTTTTGGGTTTAAGGAGGGTTTGGGGTCAGGGTTTAGGGCTTAGGGCTTCGGGTTGGGTTTAAGGTTTGGGCTTAGGAGCCTCAGGTCTCGAGCAAGCACGGATCCGTCCGCGGAGGACCCTGAACTACAAGGGCTAGACTGCAGACATTAATTGCTAACCCAAAGGAGGGGGCTACCCTAAACCCCAGAGTTCCAAGCCTTTGACAGCAAAGCAGAAAAAGCTCAACTGGCTCTACGTCCTAAGTGTCGCTCGCGGGACGCAGCCCCCCCAAAGGCCTCTGACAACGAGCTCGTCAAGGCCGCCACCTCCTCAGGGGAACAGGTGCTGTGGGCTTTCGGAGGACATCGAGTTGACTAGACAATCAGGTGCAAGAAAGGAGTTCGGACCCAGGGAACCCCCGATTTAAGGTTTAGGATGTGTGTTTGGTCATCATCCTTCTTGGAAGAGCTTGCGGGCTTCCCCGCCCACCCTCCCACCCCCCTCAGAAAATCAACAGAAAAGCGGGCAAATCGCAGCACTGCAGGATGCCCTGAGCTCGAACCGTAAGGGCAGCAGAGGGGGGGAAAGGGTTCAGGGCTTAGGTTGGAGTCATGCTCGGGGATGCGGCAAAGCCACGCACGAGGCCGCCTTTTCCGCACCGTGTGCATGAGGGGTAGAGGGTTTGGCGCCGGGGGCTGTACAGGGTAGATTTGGAGATGTTCGCCTGGGGCGACGGCCTCCGAAAGCTGAAAGAACTTTCTGTTCCCGGCGCCGCTGTGCCCTGGCATGGGCACTGCGATATCCAAGCGCCAGGACCAGCCGGGGCAGTGTCTGCGCCAGCGCTCCGGCCAGTGCTGGTTGGATGTAAGGGTTTGTCAGGCACGAACCCATTGCCGCAGCAAGGGCCCCGCCAGCCAGCTCCAAGGAGCCAAAATCAGCCAAAAACTCAACGAATTCTGCATTGTCGAAGGCCCTTCAGGCCCCATTCAACGGTTCCATCCGAAGAAGGAAGAAAAGGGCAAAGGCCAGCTGCGGCGGCTCAGACCCCCATAGTGGCCTTCGCGGGCTCTCCCTCATCATTCTCCTGACATGCTTGCCAATGCACACGAAACCGCCAAACCCGAATTCCTGAAGACTCAGAAACTCCCTTGAACGTCGAAGCCCTCAAACACCAGCGGCATCTCACCCGCACCCTTGACGAAAGCTTGCCAGCATCCCCAACTTGCGAAGGAGACACCTCTGTAGACAAAGCCCTGAAACCGCCCGCACAAGTAAATCACCAAATCAAAGTCCCAAAGCCTAAACTCCTAAATCCCAACAGCCCCGCAGAAGCTGCCAGGTCTGCCAGTGGCCTTGGACTTCTCGAGGTTGACCAAGTCCGGCTGCTCGGGACTCAGCCCCTGGCAGGGCCACTCTTGCAGACATTTGTGGAGACTATCCACGAGTATCCGCATTCAAACGTCTAGGAAAGAGAACCCCCCGCAGCGCCTTGCCGTCCTCGTCCTCAGCTGGCAGGCTGTCCAGCAGCTCCAGTTCCTCCTGCGTGAAGAGGAAGCGCATGGCCTGCAGATGGCACGGGGGCTTAGATGAGCGGGTCTTATTTCTCTGGAGGGAAAGCGCGCCCTTGCGCCAAGATGTCTTGCCGAGTCTTGCCCCACGCCTTCCGGATGATGGCCAGGGAAGCCATGAAGAAAGGGAAGACGACGGAAGTCTCCTTGATGGCTTTGAGACCGTACAAGATGCCCAGACAGACCACCTGGCAGAAAAAGAACAACTTTAGGCTGATGACCGCCGCGTGAGCATGTGCTCACTAAGTTGGCACCACGAATGCCGCAGCAAGCGTTCGCTGCGAGCATGCATCTTCGGAGTGTGTGCATATAAAGGGGCGGTGAAACCGGACTAACACCCCACCACCAAAACCGAGCAGGAGGAGGGGAGAAGGAATCCAATGCAAAAAAGGAAGGAAGCAATGCAGTATTTGCGGCTTTCCTCGAGTCCGATTTCGTGGGCAAATCGGATAAGCGGTCGTATTTTCATAAGATAACCTAAAATGCAAGACCACCTGGCAGAAGAACAACTTTAGGCTGAAACTATTCGCGTCAACTCGTGCTCACTAAGTGGGCACAGCCAATGCCGCAGCAAGCGCTCGCTGCTAGGAGTAGCATGCATACAGGGAGATGAAGTCACCAACGAGTGGAGGGAGAACGGGAAAGTGAAACAGGACTAAGACCGAGAGAGAGAACCAAAAAAATGAAGCGATTGCTGCATCTGCGCAAAATTGAACACAAGCTCGGACATCACCCTTAGACCAGGCCAGCTTTCTAGCAACCAGGCCCTAACTAGGCCCCGAAAGGCTGTGGGCTGTGGACGTTCGCTACAATAGTTACAACTCCAATCAATCTTCCAAAGCCAACCTGCCTGCACCAGGGTGTAGAGGTGCACGCGGCGGATGGGGAGCTTCTGGATGTAGTGGTACTGTGGGTACTTGGTCGGGTCCCAGATCAGCCACAGGAAGAGGCGGTCGAAAAGATTGTTGCCGGTCAAGCTGGCGATGCCCATGTAGAAGAACACGCCTTGCAGCACGGCCCGTGGCAGGAACTTCAGCGCCGGCGCCAGGAAGAGCGCACATCCTATGAGCACATGGATCAGAAAATTTGTTGCGCGCTGCTCCACGACCTTGCTCGGTACCTTGCGCTCGCCCTCCGGCAGCTGCTTCACCTCATAGGTGGTCAGCGAGATCACGTGGGTGATGCTAGGTACCGTCGAGGCCACCGACAGAGGCAGGCCCAACACGGCGCAGACGGGCAGCGTCAAAGCACCCCTGACAAACCTTAGAAAACTGTCTCTGGCACCTTATACAGGGAACTGGCTACAAAAGCAAAAGGATTCTTGCAAGCGCTGGCCAGAAAACAGATCCAGATGATAGCCTGGCCCCTTCTGCAGGTTGTTGGAAGGCCTGTTCACGATCACAGACGTGAGGTTCTGGTCCAGGTATCCCAGCACGGCGAAACCAATTGCCTAGACCCAAGTATAACCCAGGATGAAAAGGGTAATCACCCTTTGAAGAGGCTTATAAGGGAACCTATACCTAAACCTAAAATCCTAAAAATATGATGAAGGCTTAGTCTGGGTCTAGGTTGCTGGAAGTATCGCGTAAGCAATGGCCCAGGCCGGGAAGTCGCGCTCGATGCCCATGGGATTCACGACCCAGGGCCGCTTGCTGCCATCCGACAAGACGAGGTTCGGGGAGAAGTCCGCGTCGACGCTCAGCATTCTCAGGTTCGTGTCGCTGGAGTAGATCGCTGCCAGGGCCGAGGCCGTGACCAGGGAGATGGTCACTGCGAAGTTGGCCATGAGGTTGCGGATGGGCCGGAGCAGCCAAGGCGTGCGGCGGAAGTGGGACAGGTAGGTCGCCAAGCCAAAGGTGTACATGAAGAGTAGGGCCTCGGCAAATTTCAACAAATTTTCAATGATGCCACGCCCAGGGAGGTGCACACCCTGAGAGCAGGGCCTCGAACATGGCACTGGTCAAGCTCATCTTGCTCTCCGAGAAGTTCTCGATAATAGGCCTACGCCCCGGAATGGTCAACGCTTGATTGGGCACGCCACGATGTTTCAATTAAGCCGTGTACACTTGCTGACCTACCTTCGCGCACAACCAAAAACGTTCGACAAGACAGCATCTTCACCTTCATGCGACAGGCATACCATGAGCCCAATACCATCATCACCGCCCAATCTCATGGGCATGACTATCGTGCAGGATTCAATGCTCTGTGCTGGCCTCTGCTGCAAATTTATGCAAGCGAGCGAAAACGGGTGACGAACACAAGCAAAAAAAAGTGTGGGCATGACCCCATCTCCGCATGCACAACAGGACGGACGGACACACACACACACACACACACACACACACACACACACACACACACACACACACACACACACACACACACACACACACACACACACACACTCGTGCAACCCTCCCTCTTCGTCATAGAGGTGAAGATTTCAAAGGCAGAGCCTGCATGAACCCTCACATGAGTGCACTCTAGATATAATACGAAACAAGGACTTGTACAGCGACCTAAACAGCATCACAAACAAACCCTGTTGAAGCAATGCTTCGAAAAATGGCAGGTACGCTGCATTGGCCAAGTGCAGTATCCCACTCTGTGACCTAGCTTTGTTAGACTGGGTCAGTCACAGAGTGCCCAGTCCCTCTGCTCAAAATCTGCGGAACGCGCACCGGTCCAAACTGGACGCTACAGTAGCTCTCGGCCCTTCAACCTTGGTAACAGTGATTCCCCACACACACCCTGCAAAGCAGGGTAAGCCCACGGTGGCTGAACTCCCAGGCCCTGATATTCTCCATGGGTCTTCCCGCCAAGGACGTTTTGCGAGACCACTCAGTAGGCTGAACAGTCCGAAAGAGCTGGTGAGACCCTTTGCCAACAGGCTGACAGTCGTAGAACTTGTCGTCAGACTGAAAGTGATCAGGAGCAATCTCGGGGGGGGGGGGGGCGAACTGGCTCGGTGGGCTCAGCGGTGGCAGTCCAAAGCTGAGCTTGCTGCCACGCTGTCCTTCTTGCCAAGAAGAAGAACTGATTTGAATACCATTCCCAAGAGGATGGCTGACTCCATGCAAATTGCTTCCACCATGAACTGTACATGATGAAGAATATGGCTGTTCAATCAAATGGTACAAACTGAGCCTTGAACCCAACAGGCCTCAGACAGCCTTTGGTGAAGGTTCTTCGGGAGGATAAATAAAGCAAGCCATACAATAACATAGCCTGGGCCTTTCGAGACTCAAACCCAACAGAGTGCGTTGCTCACGCGAAGTACCATTCGGGCTGGACTGATTCAAGGTCCAAAGGTTGTTTCAGACAGAGCCTGGGCCTTTCAGTATCTCAAGGCTAAGCATCTAGACCGATCAGGGTCCATGCAGTAGGCAACCCTACCGTAGACGGCACGTTGAACGAACAACCGTCTAGAGCACACTCGTGCAATCCTCCCTCTTCGTCATGGAGGTGAAGATTTCAAAGGCAGAGCCTGCATGAACCCTCACATGAGTGTACTCTAGATATAATACGAAACAAGGACTTGTACAGCGACCTAAACAGCATCACAAACAAACCCTGTTGAAGCAATGCTTCGAAAAATGGCAGGTACGCTGCATTGGCCAAGTGCAGTATCCCACTCTGTGACCTAGCTTTGTTAGACTGGGTCAGTCACAGAGTGCCCAGTCCCCCTGCTCAAAATCTGCGGAACGCGCACCGGTCCAAACTGGACGCTACAGTAGCTCTCGGCACTTCAACCTTGGTAACAGGGATTCCCCACACACACACACACGGAGACACACAGCCAGCCAGCCAGCCAGCCAGCCAGCCACACAACCACCCCGTCACGCACGCGCGCACACACTTGTTTTTTGGCGTGTACTCTCGCACGCTCGCGCGCAACATGCATGCACGCACAAACAACACAGCACTCACAATGCTCACGAGCCGTGGGCCTAACTCCGTCGATGATAAAGATCAAGGAAATAAGGCCCGCGAAGATGTCTTCCGAGAACATGGTCACATGCTTCATGAGAGCACAGAGGTCGAAGACCGCGACCAAAATGGTGAAGAGCGAACACCACATGCAAACCCAGAAGTAGAAGGGCATGAACTCCACATCGGCACCCACAGCCATGTCATACACCACGAGGGTGTAAGCCAGGAAAGGACCGGTCGCTCCGAGGATGGACAAGGGCTGCCCTGCGAAGGTGGAGAAGATCATGCCAGAGACGGCTGTCGACATAATCATTTCCAGCACTCCGAACTGGCCATTGGTGCCGTCCAAGAAGCGGCTTCCGAAGGTGATGGCGGGCGCCAAAGCTGCGATGAAGAGGTAGAGAATGGACGACAACGATTTTTGGAAGTTCTCCGGCTTGAACGCATCCGTCCAGTCGCGCGCGTAGAGCGGCAGCCGCCTACGCAAGTCCAGCCTCAGGCCTCCAGCAATTTTCCCAGTAAACTCCAAGGGCCCGTAATCCTTCTTGGCCGTGTGGTTGATATAGCCGGACTGATTGCGGATCACTGCCTCGGCCTCGGACATGGCTCGGCTGCGATGTTCAGGGGCCTGCGGTGGGGCGGGTGTTCGCGTCTCGAGCGCCTGGAACCCCTGCGAGCACACAAAAACCATGGTCTCTTGGGATCAGAATCGCCAACCAAACTCAGAAATGTGTTCTATATTTGTGCAGCAATCGAAAACAGTGCGGCTCCAGAAATCTCACGTTGCCTCGCCGAGCTCGTCCCTCTCCCGGCAGACCTCTTCCTGGTGGGCAGTGGTTTAGGGTTTCGGGCTTCCGGGTTGTCCAAGCTTCAAGTTTGAGGCTTAGGCTACTTAGAGGTGTCATAAGGCAGCTGGGCGTTGGAAACAGAATGGAAAAGTCCCCCACATGCATTGCCTCAAGTTCTACAGACCTGCGGCCCCCTTTCCACGAATCCTCATACTAGGACTAGGACTTGCGCCCATGTGCATCCCTGGTGTTCGGGTGAAGGTCTTTGGTTTTGGGGGCAGGGTTTGGGGTAGTTTTTAAGTACCCAAAAGCACTGAGCGCAAACCCTGAAGCCTTGACTCAGTATGCACCGAGATTTTACTTCTGCTGGCAGAGACTGAAGGAACGGGACCTTGCCATCCTCCTCGGCGCGCAGCTGGCTGGTCTGCACCTAGCAAGCACCGGGGAGCGGAGTTCGGGTGGTAAACAAAGCTAAGGGCATGTTAAGGCTTGAAGCAGGGACCACAAGTCTGGTGTATGGTGCCGATAGGCTTTAGGGCTCTGCTGTTCACTGCTCCGGCATGCTTGTTCATTCCCGAACCCCACCCCTCCCCAAGATGCCTCCCAAAGCGAGAACTTCAGTGCATCGCACTCCTGCTTCAGGCGCAGGGTTTAGGGATGTGCCTTGCTCTGAGAATGTAACATATATGTAACATGTATACGTGTATACGTGTATACATGTATACATGTATACATGTTTATATGTCTATATATATATATATTTCTACATATATAGACATCTGTATGTATACACGTATATGTGTATATATGTATATATGTGTATATGTATATATGTATAGATGTGTATATGTGCAAATGTGTATATATATATATATACAATCTACTTATTTATTTATCCATTTGTTTATTTTCGTCCTGAGCAAAGAAATAGCATTCTGAAAATTGAGAAGCTACATAGAAATCCTGACGGCGGGTAACCAAACAAGAGCCCTGCAGCCCTACGCCAGGCTTTTGCTTTTGGACAAGGTCTCAGAATCCGTCAAAATGGTTAGATGCGTAGCTTTGGGTAAACCCTTCAATCTTCAATCCACCTAAAACCATACGCTCCCTAAGCTCTGTGCCCGTTTTCTTGCAAACAAACTCTCCGCAACCCTTCGCGGCTCTCAACTCTGAGAACCTCGTGAGTGCCTCAGAATTTGATCTAAGTCGTGGGCCCGTTGGGGCGAATCTCAGGAGAATCTTGGCCGAAGGTCCAGTCCAGGGTGAAGGGGGATTCATGTGGTCGCTGGGGTCTCGAAAAACAGAGTACTTCCTCCGACTTCCTCCAACAGAGCCCTTCCTCGGCCAGCTCTTCTCTCTCCTGCTCAAGGCCCACCTGGGCTCCAAAGCTGCGTAAACTCTACGGTCTCAGAGGGATCTACAACTCAACATGCATGAAGAGGAGGTTATAATGGCAGCACAACAGCTCTGTGATTCCCCAGCGTCGGATTACAAAGCTTGGGCGTAGGTCCCAGACATTCCAAGAAAACCTGATCAAAGGCTTAGGGGGTCGGGCAACTCTATGGGGTGTTCGGTGTCCCTGGCTTGGGGTTTCATAGGAGCTTGAAGGGCTTTGAGGGGATTTCGTGCTTCAGGGAAGGCTTCCACCTACACCCGAACCCTAAACTCGTCTTCCTCGCAAGGGCCCGCACCACTAAGGCCCGCAGCTCTGCCTCCTCCGAACGGTCCTCTCGCTGGGGGGCGGGGGAGGAAACTTGGGGTTCAGGGTTGCGGGGGTTCGGGTCCTTAAAGCCTCTGCTTGCCAGCACATTTTCTTGGGAAAATTTGAGCCCGTGATCTTAAGGCCTTAAGGCCTAAACCATAGCCCAACCGCCTCGTCTGAAGCCATGACACCCACGTCTAGGGCTCAGGGCTGAGAGCTCAAAATCCCGAATCCTCCGAATCAGAAGCATTGAGCCAAATTTGTAAAAACCTCCGAGAATCACGGAGCTTTCGCCTTCAACCCACCAACCCGGTAACCCGGAATCAACCCGGGATTTTCATGGAGTTTTGGGGGTGTTGAGGATGGCGCGATTTGTATCCTAAAGACACCTCGACCCCATAGACCCTACATTACCCCCAAAAGCCCATGAACCTTCAATAAACACCAAAAAGCCCTTTAACCCTAAACCCCAAAGACGCGAGGCGTTTTCAGGGTCCCCCCAGCCACTCCGGCAGGGGCGGCACGAGGCGAGCCAGGCGGCTGCGCACCGTGTCCACGCCTCGGCTGACAAGCTCCCTTTGCTTAGACGCCTTGACCCGGCTCCCTCTGCCAAAATTGAGGCACCTTGCAACTGAACTCCGCAAGGTTTCGCAATGTAGAGAACTGGCCACCTACAGAACAAAAACAAACTAAACCCCAGACCTTGAACCCCAAACCCTAGCCGAACCTTGAGCCCTAAACCCTATTGCAAAAATGGCAACCCCTAAGCCATCGTAAACCCCGAAACCCCCAAGTCTCCAGGCCCTCCTGCGTTGATCGAACTCCGGACTTCCGGAGCCGTGCCGTGCGGCTGACAGGCCGGGCCTAGGCTGGGTGGGGGCTTAAGATTTGGAGCTTAGGGTTTAGGGCTTAGGGTTTAGGCTTGCCGGTTTAGGGAGGGTTCAGTTGGGGTTCAGGGTTGAGGGCTGAAGACTACTCACTTGAGTGGCTTTGGGACTTGCGGCTTTCAGGTTCAGGAGTCCTGTTCTGTGTGTGGGCCGTGAGCAAAAAAACAAGCGCGAAGTTTAGGGTACTCATATTTGGGGTTCGTAGTTCAAGGGTTAGGGCTTTACGCTCGGTCATGCAGACGGTAGCTACCACGAAGCCGATAACTCCGCACACTTCGGATGTGGCGTTGAGGTCTTCGGGCTGAGGAGGATGCACAGCTTAGGGGTCAGAGGATTCCTGGGATGGGCCCCAAAACCGGATAAAACCCGACCTCTAAACCACAAACCCTCAAACGCCCCTAAACCCGAAAACCACTGAAGCCGCAATAAGCCCTCAGAAACAAAAGCCGCAAACCCTTTGAAACCCCACTCAATAAAGCCCTGAACCTCCGAGTAGAAAACAGCCTACACATCCCGTGAACCCTTCAAACCCTTCAAACCCTTCAAACCCTACAAAACCTACAAACCCTGCAAACCCTACAAACCCCATAAACCCTTAAACCCTAAAAAGCCCAACAAACCCAAAAGCTCGCGAGCTCCCAGCACAATGGGCGACTCTGGCCAGCGCTGCAGGGGGCTTGGCAGCGCTGGGCCTGAGCTCGATGTGGCGGGAGGTTAAAAGGGTGCGGGGGGAGGGGGGGGGGGGGGGGGAATGAGGGGGGGGGGGGGAGTGAGGGGGCGGGGGGGGAGGGGACGATGGATGGAGGTTTTCAGGAGCTCTTGGGGTCTAAGGTTCATGATCTGAGCATTCAACCCCTAAAATTGTCAATAGGGAATGGAACCCTCTGCGAATGCCCCATGCGAACGCAAACAACTTAGGGTGGCTTACAAGTAGAACGTGAACGCTACACACCACACCCTAAACCGAAAAGTCCTAAACACTTACAACCGCCCACTTCCAAGTACTCCTGCACATACTGATTCGGCAACGCACCCATTCCCTAAGGAGCTGGCTGCGAAGTGCCACTGCTGCCTTTTGGGCTTTAGTGACTAGCGTTCAGGGATTCGGGTTCTGGGCGTTAAAGGTCTTCTGATTCAGGGTTTCATGCACGTGTCGGGCGTTTATGGCTTTGACCATCGGTGGGATGTAAGGGGAGTTTCCCCTACAGCAACATTCCAGGATCGTGATCTGGGGCAAATAGCCCACGGGCTGCAAGTGCGAACGGTTTCCCTAAAACCCTAAAACCCGTCCAAAGCCTCCAGAAGACGCAAAAGGCTTCTTGAAAGCTTCATGATGGTCCACCTCCCTAAATTTGGGTCAGGGTGCGGGGTTTAAGGCACAGAACCTGAAGACCACAAAGGTTCTTGAAGACCCTGAAGGCCCTGAATCCCGAAGGCCATGGCACTCCCCCCGAGATCCCCCAGTCGGGCGCCAGGTCTTCGGTGGAGTCCGCATCCCACACGCTGGACCTTGGGGGAGGTGAGGAGGGGGAGGGGGAGAGGAGGAATTGAGGTTTCGCTGGTTTTTGAGGTAGCGCAGTGCTGAAAGCACATGTCTCCTGCCTAGTATCTCAGCATGCGAAACCCCCAAAACCTCCCGAACCTCAACCATAGCACACATCCCTCAACGCTAAACCCTAAGACCCTTGGAAACCTCGACACGCCAAAGAACTCTGAACGCCAAGCCCTCAACCCTGAACCCCAAACCCGACACCCTAGACCAAAAACCTGCAACCCTGAACCCCAGTTCCTGAACCCCGAAACTGCCAATCAGCCAAGGCCAAGGCAAAGACGCCTGCTCGTCGGCATCCGGATGTTTAGAGCTTCGGGGCTTAGGATTTGGGGTCTCGGGTGTAGGGGAAAGTTGGGAGTTCTGTACTTCATGCCCCTTTCTGTAGACCCCATTCCGAGCAAACTGACTCGGGGCTTCTATAGGGTTCAGTTGTGCTGCCCGCAAGGCCGACCCATCTTCTAGCACCCTTACATGTGGGGAATCAACTGCAACCATAGTCCCCTCCCTCCCATGAACAGATCCCCCAAGACAACGCCTAATGCTCTCGCTCCTAATGCTAGGGGAAGGAGTACCACCAAGGTTGTTTCCGAACGGAAGCCTTCCAAACACAGGGCTTCAGGCTTGAGGGTTTAGGGTTGTGGCTTGAAACTTGTAGGCGGATGCTCACGGAACACCCTCCCATCGCCACACCCAGGCCCGCCCAAAAACGAGATCCCAAACAAGCCCTCAACCTCTGCACCCCTCAAGATCTTCAGCCACCAACTCGAAACCCTTAGCCGAAGAGCAGGTCGGCCTGATAGCTGGGCGGAGCATCAGAGGCCTGCCGGAGAAGCTGGAGCTGTCAAAAACCTGGGGGACAACATATGAGCCCCCTTACTATATGGAGTATACCCTAGTCAAGCCCCCAAAAAGGGGGGCTGTGATAGTTAGATCCACCCCCCTTTTGGGGTTTGGGGCCCAGATGGGGGTGCCTATCCGGAATGCTAAACCCCCGACGAGCTCTATTCTTATTCTTCTTATTATTATTCTTCTTCTTCTTATTATTATTCTGTTTCTTCTTATTATTATGTTTCCTCTTCTTCTTCTTCTTCTTCTTCTTCTTCTTCTTCTTCTTCTTCTTCTTCTTCTTCTTCTTCTTCTTCTTCTTCTTCTTCTTCTTCTTCTTCATCTTCATCTTTTTCTTCTTATTCTTCTTCTCCTCTCTCTTTCTCTCCTTTTATCTCTCCTCTCTCTCTCTCTCTCTCTCTCTGTTTTCTCTCTCGCTCTTTGTGAGTGCTCGAAGGGTGTAGCAGGTCTCAGTGCAGGGGCTTTTGAGATCTCCGGGTTTAGGGACTTATGGCTTCAGTGTCTAAGGGGCTTCAGTGGAGGGTTTCGGTCCAAGGTCGGGGCTCCTGGGTCTTACAACGTATTCTGAACAGAGGAGCCTAAGCCCCGAGCCTCAAAGCCTCCATGATCGTGAGTCCTTCTCTTCGTTTCGAGGGAGATGGTTTCATTTCCTTGGGCCTCAGCTTGGGGACTTAGGCTTAGGTCATGAACTTTATGTGACACCTAAACCCCAAACCCTAAACCCTAATCCCTAATCCCTAAACCCTCACTAAGGTCCTTGAGAATTTTGGGATTTTGTGCGCACGTTCCGCCTTGGAGGGCATCACGGAAGCGCGCTCCTCAAGTCCAGGCTTATAGGGTTTAATGGGTTCCGAGACGTATTAGGCTGGGTTTGAGGGCCTGGGGCTTGAGGTTTAGGCTTCCAGGTTGCGGGGTTTATAGAGTCTAGAGCTTGGGGCCCCAGTCTCAGGCCCTGCTTCTTCTCTGCGACTTCTCTGGGAATCGAATTCTCAGCAGCCGCCTCCCAGAAGCATTTGCAGCACACTCTGAGAGCCCGGCCAGCGCAGCCTCCGTGCGCGCGACATGTTGGAGGAGGTGGTGCTCGGCTGCTGCTCGTGTGGTTGGGATCTCAGCTCGGACGATTTAAGGTTTTGGGGTTCGGGGTGGGGCTTAGGCTAGGAAATGGAGCTCCAGTATGCCCCTCTTAGTAGAATCCGGGTTCGGGTGTTGATGGGCCATGAGGGCGCAAAGGACTGGAGAGCTTCGGTTTAGGAATCTTGCGAAATAGAGCTAGAGCCTCTAAAAGCACAGCGCGTGGTGATGTATCCCTTGCAAGAGGAACATCCCAAGACGACAGAAAAACGGCAGAACGACTCGATTCCTCGCTTGACGGCTTTGAGTTACCCTAAACCCCACACCTTCCACCCTAAACCCTACACCCTACACCCTAAACCCTAAACCCTAAAGATTTGCAGAGGCATCAACGTGCAGGCCCAGGCTCAAACATGGGCTTTAACATGGCCCGAGGGCCCCTTTCAGCCCAAACCCGGACTGCGAGGATCCTGGGAGGCCCATGGCAGCCTGACACCCAAAGTTCCCTATAGATCCGCATAAGGCTTATGCACTTTAGGGTTTAGAGTTTTAGGGTTTGGGGTTTAGGGTTTAGGGTTTAAGGGTTCTTAGTAGGGAGTGAGGGAATGAGGCACCTGATATCCCCCACTATGTCTACCCTGTAAGGGATCATTGCAGGGCAGCTAAGTCCCTCATTCCTTACTAAGAACCAGCAAGTCAATGTAAAAGGTTACTTGGGCTCAGTTACAGTGGGCAATCATGGGAGGGTCGTCTACGATCCCATCCTGCCCTCTTAAGCGGCCCCAAGCCCGAAACCCCTCCAACTCTCAAAAACCCTAACCCTAAACCCTAAATCCTAAACCCTAAACCCTAAAACCCTAAACCCTAAAACCCTAAACCCTTGAGTCAAAAAAGCTGGGTCCGGGTCTAGGACAGCCCCGGAGGCCGACATCGGACACGGCGTCCATGCGCGACAAAGGCATTGGGCTTCTAGCGTATTGGGGAGGCCTCTCGAGTTCGTAGGGGCTTTCGGAGGGTTTAGGGTTTAGGGTTTAGGGTTTAGGGTTTAGGGTTTAGGGTTTAGGGTTCAGGGTTTGGGGTTTGGGGTTTGGGGTGTGGGGTTTGGGGTTTAGAGTTTAGGGTTTGGGGTGGTTGGGAATGGGGGTTCACAGGGTTGTTTGGGGGGTTTGTAGCTCGGGGGGTTAGGGCGCTTTTGGCCGGCATCTTGTGAAACGTTCGCCAAGTGGTGTAGCAGTGTAACTCCTGGAACGGCGCTTGATTCTGAGGAGCTGCAGCAAGCAAGGAATCTTGCAAGGGCCACGCCATGCCACGCCATCGCACACGGATGCAGCCGAGATCCAAACGGCTGTAAGTCACGTCCTAAACCAGCTCCGATGTCCAGGACAGCTTTTGAAAATACTTGGCCATGATGCAGGTTTTGACTTGAAGGCTCGTTCGTAAGGAGTGCGGCTTCGCCGTATCTCCATGTATGCCGATCATCTAGAGCGGGCAGTGTCAGAGGAAGTCATAGGACTCTTACAAGGAACTGGCTTCGCCGGTGGAAGCTTCAATGGTGGACACTTTCTCGAAACGCTATGAACCTCGCTTCGGCTCATCAACACCAAAACTTCATGCTTGGAGGTCTCAGCTCAGCTGAAGCTCTCAGCAATGGAAAACAAGTACGACGGTATGATCATACCGTCATACCGTCTGCGGCTTCATGTCCGTCTCCGTCTCCGTCACTGCGGAAGCTTGATCTGCTGCAGCTTCTGTTGTGCTGCTTCGCCTCTTGTGCTGACGGAGGTAGTGCCGCGATAACATGACGAGGAAGCCAAAGAGCATGATGACAAAGGAGATCATCATGGTGCCACTGAGGTCGTCGAAAGACATGGCGACGACTTCGGACTCTTCCTCTTCGGATTCGCAGATGGACTGGGCAAACAAGTGGGCGTTTTGGGCCTTCATGTTCTCCATCACACCCTTCGTGATCGCATTGGTGAAAGCCCAGGAGAGGCTGTGGGCCATCCTGTCGCTGACCGGAAAAGAAAGTGGGACGCTCCAAAGGAGGTCGCCGACCTCAGCTTTTGCCTTTCTTCCTTTCTCTTTCATCTCTCACCCTTTCTCACTCTTGCATTCGCGCGGCTTTGGAAAACTTGGAAAGTGTGGTTCGTGAAGTTGGAGAACGCGGATTCGGGAGACTTAAAGCGCGGATCCCGGCGCGTAACTTAAGGCGCGGATTCGGGAAACTAAAACCGCCGATTCGAAAACTGGGAAACGTGATTCGGGAAACTGGAACACGCAGATTCGGGTGGGACGAACACGGACTCGGCAACAAGAAAAGAATTCAGATATCGCGGATTCGGGAAACTGAACATCTGCTCTCTGAGGCCGCTGACTCTAAGGAGGTTGCAGTCGCGCATCTTGTCCTTGCACTGGGCTTCCTCTTCGGTGAGCGTCCCGGCTCTGAGGGCGGCACAGTCTGCCTCCCTCACCTGCCCGGCGAAAACGGTATTGAGGACGTCCTGGGCATGTGCAGTGGTTAAGGAAAGAGGGATTCATGCGGGGGGACCCATCAAAAAACACAAAATCACAATAGATGATCAAACATCAAGAAGTCATTAAGTCCCCATCAAAAAATGTCAGAAGAGTAGGCGTACTAACGTCCTACTAGTAGTAGTAGTAGTAGTAGTAGTAGTAGTAGTAGTAGTAGTAGTAGTAGTAGTAGTAGGTAGTAGTAGTAGTAGTAGTAGTAGTAGTAGTAGTAGTAGTAGTAGTAGTAGTAGTAGTAGTAGTAGTAGTAGTAGTAGTAGTAGTAGTAGTAGTAGTAGTAGTAGTAGTAGTAGTAGTAGTAGTAGTAGTAGTAGTAGTAGTAGTAGTAGTAGTAGTAGTAGTAGTAGTAGTAGTAGTAGTAGTAGTAGTAGTAGTAGTAGTAGTAGTAGTAGTAGTAGTAGTAGTAGTAGTAGTATAGTAGTAGTAGTAGTAATAGTAGTAGTAGGAGAAGTAGTAGTAGTAGTAGTAGTAGTAGTAGTAGTAGTAGTAGTAGTAGTAGTAGTAGCAGAGCAGCAGTAGTAGTAGTAGTAGTAGTAGTAGTAGTAGTAGTAGTAGTAGTAGTAGTAGTAGTAGTAGTAGTAGTAGTAGTAGCAGCAGCAGCAGAGTAGTAGTAGTAGTAGTAGTAGTAGTAGTAGTAGTAGTAGTAGTAGTAGTAGTAGTAGTAGTAGTAGTAGTAGTAGTAGTAGTAGTAGTAGTAGTAGTAGTAGTAGTAGTAGTAGTAGTAGTAGCAGTACTAGTAGTAGTGGTAGTAGTAGTAGTAATAGTAATAATAGTACTTGCAGTAGTAGTAGCACAAGTAGTAGTCGTCGTCGTAGTACCAGTAGTAGTAGCAGTAGTAGTAGTAGTAGTAGTAGTAGTAGTAGTAGTAGTAGTAGTAGTAGCAGCAGTTGTAGTAGTAGCAGTAGTAGTAGTAGTAGTCCCACGTTTGCGCTCAATTTTAACAGAAGTGTCGGGGGTACTTTTCAGCAGCCCTGCCCTGAAAACACTTTGAGTTGCAGCGTATTCGCTTCTTTTCAACGCACGTTTTCGGTGCAATTGCTTGTTCACTTCTTGGGTGGGGTGGGGGGGGGTGGGGGGGAAAATAACGATCATGCGAATCTATACATTACATGGCTCTCGTGCTATGCATCTGCGTTTTGGGGTTGTTAGGCGTTAGGGTTTTTACTTTAGGGATTATAGGCCTGTTCCGGCTCTCCGTTGTGGTTTTTCCTTAGGTTTCGGGCCTATTTTAAGATAGGGGGATAAAAAAGCATAAATGCAAGCGCGAGATGGCGTTTTTGGGGTTGCTAGGGTTTAGGATTTAGGGTTTTAGGTTTAGCAGGGCTGAGGTTTTATTTGGTGGCTTAGGGTTTAGGGTTTCGTGTTTATGTAGGGGGGGGGGGGTTTGGAGAGATCAAGGGGTTGCAATGCGATCTGTCAGAATCCTGTTGGAGCTTTTCGGGGACACGGCGGGTTTAGAGGTACGGGTTTAGGTTCAAGGCTTTCGCCTTGCACGACTTCGGGCTTGCACTGTTTTTTTGGGGTGGGAGGGCGGATTTACAGGTCAGGGGGTTATTTACTAAACAACGCCCCATGCTGGAACCCCAATGCTGCGAAACAACATGTTGCGCCGAAAAAAACACTTAAAAGTACCCTCGTGACGTGTGCTCTTCACAAGCGCGAAACCTTGTAAAAACCGAGACTGTTAGCAAAAATATTGTAGCGTCAAATACCAACCCGGCGAGTAGTAGTAGTAGTAGTAGTAGTAGTAGTGGTAGTAGTAGTAGTAGTAGCAGTAGTAGCAGTAGTAGCAGTAGTAGCAGTAGTAGTAGTAGTAGTAGCAGCAGTAGTAGTAGTAGTAGTAGTAGTAGTAGTAGTAGTAGTAGCAGTAGTAGCAGTACCAGTAGTAGCAGCAGCAGCAGCCGCCGCCGCAGTAGTCACAATCATAATAATAGTGATAATAGTAGAAACAGAAGAGCAATTAGCAGCGAAGAGCTTACGTTCATTAGCCCGCTCCTGATTTCTAGGAAAGCTAAATGCCAGGAAAAGGGAAGCGAGAAGGCAAGAGCCCAAGAAGCTAAGAAGAATCCCGAGGCAAAAAACACCCTAAATGCCCTTGAAGTCTCAATCTCTCCATCGTGCTTGGCTTTTGATGGTGATTTGATCCTCAGACTCCTCCTAAAGCCTCAGCCTTTATTCCCCACAACAATTTCAAAAGCATCAACCAATATTGAGGAGGTCCTGCGACAAAACCATGGCTGAACAGTCTCCCTTGTGGAGCATCCGTGGAAGACTTGAGATATCTCCACCCACAAATGTGGCACGTTTGTAGACCTTCGAGAACGTTTCTAGCAGGGACGATGGAGCACAGATTGTCAGGTCATTGTTGATGGCATCCTCGATGGAGTTGATGCTACCGCCCACGCTGTTCTGGACGACCAACACGGACGCCAAACTCGCCGTATAGCTCGCCAGGGTGATGAGGATGAAGAAGGCCAACGCGAGGCTGAAGATCTGCCTAACCGGACCGCTTTCCACATCCATACTGCTTTGGCCGAGGAGGAAGTCGTGCCAAACGAAGAAGAGGGAGCGGAGAAAAGCCACGATGTTCGACTTGAACAGTGACTTGCAATCACCATCACAACCCGACTCGCACACTTGCCTGAGGTACAAGAGCAGCGACATGATGCAGAGGAATCCTGCAACGGCCAACCAGGCACCAGGAGTAAACGGCTGAAAGGGCTTGGTGATTCTGTCCCAGACGGTCATCTCAGTGGCTTCCGTGCTCTTCTCGACTACGAGGTAAAAGAAGTCCTGCCTGACATTTCCATAACACACTCTCATCCTTCACAGTGACGAAACAACAGGTGCACGGGCAGAGAAGCTCACAAAGCCAAGCACAGGCTTCCCATGCTACTGCTACCCATGCTACTGCTACTGAGAACTTCTAGTTTCCAGCATCGGTTGCCCCCGATGTACATTCATATTCGTTGCAACGCGCCCTTGTAACACATTTCATGGGCGCCGAAAATATACTATTTCCTTCACTCCCGATCCCACGAAATACTGCTGTTACTATCGGGCTCGCCTGCATAATTATCGCGACATGCTTCTCATCCTTTGTGCCGCGAGAAACATGAACATCATGTGTGAGCAGAGTGAAGGAAGGACTGGCCCGTTGAAAAGAGCCCATGAAACAAAAACATCATTGCGGCCTGCTGTTTCACGCCATATTTGAGCATTTTGTGGTGTCCAACAGCCCTTCTCATTCTGTTGGTAAGCCCAGCGCACCTGACAGCTGGAAGGAACGTCACCAGCTTGTTCCTCTCTGGCGTGAGCCACAGGTCTGCGATGCAGATGTCGAAGTTCCCGACCGCCACATCGTGCACACACGCAGTGTACGAGCTGCTCGGAAACCTATCTCTGGATTCCTGCGTGGCCCATCCCGGAATGACCTCGATCACCGGCTTCGGTTCGAAGATCGACAATGCCTGTACGAAGAACTCGTAAGTTGGACCTGACCAAACTTCTTCGTCCTTGACAATCCAAGGTGCCCAGGCATCCGCTGCTGCCCGGATCGACCGCCCTGCGATGAATTCGTTGAGCTGGTCTGTATCGTAGTCATTCACGGAGCCACACGTCTGATAGCTGTAGGCCTCAGAGTTGTTGAGCAGGGAGCTCGGATCGGTAGCTCGGGTACGGCAGTAGGGAGACACGTCGCTACCCAGCACACCGCCTGCGGCCTCGCACAGTTTCACATTTTCTGGGCACAGGCTCTCGTCCACGAAGCACCAGTTGTTGTTACACCATGATGGCGGCGACGAACCGTCGCAATGTTGCCCCTCATAGAGTGCAAGACCCATGTCATGATTTGCACAACCGGTTAAGCCATAGGTACTCGGCGCCCCTTTTGCGACCACTCCAGCCTGCATGGTGCTGTACATCGAGTAGCTGCTATTAACGCATGGGCACTCAGGAGCTCCTGGGCCATTTGCCCCAAGGACCGGCAGTAAGATGCCGAGGCCTATGAAGGCTTTCATTCTCTGGCCCACAACTACGGCTGCTTCCTGAGCTCTGATCCAGAAACTAGTGGCACAAATGCAAAATGATTACAAGCATGACCTATCATGACCCCCCATCACTTCGCCACACAACGACAAGCTCAATCGCGCTCATAAACGATGCACCTTCTCTTAGCACGGCCAGGGCCCTCTGCGTCATTGGCACAGCAATGAGCTGTTGGAGTAGAGATCTCAGGCTGCACGAACCTGTACACGCTTCTGGCTTCTGGATGTTGCGGCAGGGCGCCATCTTAATGTTCAAGTGAAACAAACGGCGCGAAATAAGGCGAGGACCGCGCACAACGAGCAAACCCAACTCGGGTTCTCCTTTCTGGCAAACCCGCTTTCGGCTAGGTTTGTCCGATTGAGGTGGCCCTCTTGGCATATTCTGCGACACCCTCGACTTGAAGCACCTTGAATCAGGTCTCGTGGCAGCGCTTGGATCGAGAGACGTCTGGCCCTTCAGCGTGGAAGTGGCCTGAGCTTGCTTGTTGCTGCCCATTCTCACACGATCTCACACGGAAAGTGCACGATGCTTTATCAACAAGACAAGCCCTCAAGAAGCAGATAGAAGCCCCGTATCGGTATCTTCGACCCGAAAAGCGACGCAAGGAAACCGAAAACGCACGGCTTGTATACATGCTCGCTGGAGCGATGTCTGTTGGGAAAACCGAACTCTTTGTATAGCATTGTATTTTGTACTCTTGTAAACTCTCAGAAGACTGCAAGGAGCAGTTTAAGCTCGAAATGTCCCAGCTTTCTGAGGCCGGCTCGGGATCCTGGACTTCAAAGCTTATGTCGGAACCGCTGGCCACCGCATCGAAGACGAAATGCGCCACGGGCGTCGTCTGCCTCGGAGTACGGACGGAGCTCTGGCAGGAAATGCATGCAGAGGTGGCATGCTGAATCATCTTGCATTCGTGTTAGGGTGAAAGACTAAGCCAACCCAGTGAACAACCAAAGATGAGTGATCCTGAGCTCAGTAAACTCAGTAAACACCCCGGGGGCCCAAAGTTGAGGTTTGGGGGGGGGGGGGGGGCTGGGACCCTAAGCATCCCTAAAGCCTTGTGGGGACACTAGCCGTTGATGTCATCCCTAGAAACAAAGGAGGGCTCGGCTTTGGGCTTTAGAACCTAAGCTTCAATGTTTAGAAGTTCAAACGGATGTTGAGGGCTTAGTCCCCGCCATTGCTGGCTTGCAGCTTCTACCGCTGGCTGGTGCAACCTCCGGCAAATGGCGCTAAAACCCAACACCCTGAACCCTACACTTTGAGTCCTAAGCGCTGAACCCTCAGCGTCAAACCCAACACCTTGAAAACAAAAAAACTATGCCCTGCACCCCCCAAACGCTAGACACCCTAAACCTCCGAAGGGATCTGAAAAATCTTGCTCAGGGACTCCGGCGTTCAAGTGGCTGGGGCTGAGGGTGTTAAAAGGTTGAGGGTTCATGGCTTAGGGATGCTTAGGGTTTGCGGTTGCGGGACAATTCGGGCTAAGCTTCTGTCAAAGGAAGACTTGGGCAGGCTAGTGACAGCTAGTGTCCCCAAATGCTTAAGAGAAAGGGGTGTTGGGTGCTGGGGTTTTTGGGTTGGGGAGTTGCAGGGCTGGCAAGAGGCGACAGGGACACGAGAGTTGCCTGCTGGGACCATACCCCATACCCCTAGAAGCTAACCTTAGCTCCCAGATCTGCCAGAGGCTTTCGTGATACAAGGAGAGTCTACTGGAAATTCCCTTCGAGGGAGGAAAGCTGGCTAAGAACTTGGGGGTTTTGGGTTTCGGCTTGCTAGGTTCCTCCAAACATCGTTGTTGGTAGCTGTTGGCTGTTGTTGGGCGTTGTTGGTTGCTGTTGGTTGTTCTTGAGTGGTTAGTTGTTGTTGGTTGTTGTTGTTCCGAGCAGAGAGGGTCGCGGCCAGGCAAGGCGCGACCTGTTCCCCGAACACTGGTGAAGAGGGTTTAAAACCTTACAGCTATCCAACATGCCAGGATGCTGCCTTCTGCGAGACATCGGCGCCGTCGGCCGCTTAGCCACGAAGTGTTGTGGATGCATCCGCCTCCGATTCCCGAGCTTTTCCCAGGCCTCCAGTGAGTTTCCAGCCCCGCCCCCCCCCCCCGCCTGTCCCGGCTCGGCTTGCGCCAGCTCGTACACCAAGTCCTGAACCGTCGACATGTGGACTTCCGGAGAAAACGTATAGGTCATAAGAGTCTGAAAGCCATAAAAAATCATAAAAGTCAGGTGAGTCATATGAGTTAGACAAAGGGCTCGAGTCGCCTGATGAAGGAATCTCGTTAGCCCCAGTACCACGTCAAATCGCCATGGGAAATGGAAAGTGGTACGACCAGGTATCGCGTCGGTGCAGAACACCCCACCGGAATCGCTGCACTAGATGTAAGGGCCTGCAGTGGCCAACATATGATGCTCCTAGTGGCACGCTGCTCTTTCCCTCGTACCGGGATTTCTGCACATGTCATAGTCTGGAGACTGCCGATGTTGACGCTGTGGTGTTTACTTCTGGCGTGAGTGCCACGGCAGTGTGGCATGATTGCCCAGCTAGAAGCACATGCAGCGATGACCACGTTGTTTCAGCTGACGCGGACATTGTCATTGCCAGTTCGGTCGGCAGCGCTTGTAGGGAGGCTGCTGCTGGTCCTCAAGATGGCACTTACCAAGCTGTTCATTGTGAGCCCTCTTCCTTTGCCGAGCCACGGGGGCTACAGGCTGCTAGGGGCATGGTTCTATTCACGGAGCTTCATGACGAAGTGGGCTTTTCAGCTGCTTGGTGCGGAGTGTGGGAGCCACTGCGCGAGCGGTCGTCTTTTGCAGAGGCCACCCGCGTAGTGAGTTCCACCGGCAATGCTTACTTTTGCCTCAAGCAGGGCGTTGGACAGCAAGATAAGACAACGGGCGGCGGACATGGCGCTTTCAAGGCCGGGGTGGCTGGTGTTGGGCAGAGCAACATGGACAGTCCTTCGCACAACAACCTCTCCGGCCTCGTTGCGTTGATGGTCAACCATGAAGGTGACGCCAGCGCTGATGGTCATAGCCTCGAACGTGCTCACAGACGTGGCCTCTTGTTGTTTACACAGCTGCCTGATGAACTTGGCTGCGCAGCGATGTGGTGCGGAATCTGGGAGCCACTGCCGCTGTCAGGTGCATGTGAGCCCGGTGCCGTTGAGGGCGATGAGGCCACGATCCAGACAAAGGAGTGCGTCTCTGGAACGCTTTGGCTTAAATGGGTTCAGTGCTTCCCTGTGGATAAGCTTCCGGAATACAAGCGGAGCCTGGGATCTCCTGGCAAGCATTTCCCGCAGCGCTTGATTGAGTGCAAGCCTGTTGAGGACGATGTTGTGCGATGTTTTGATCCTGGTGGTGTGCAGACGGCTGCTGGAAGAAGACCGTTATGGGCGATCTCTTCTCCACACCCCCGGTCGAAGCTCCGCAGGGTCACGCAGGGCTTCGCGCAGAACCGGATGGGCAACACGGCCAGTCTGGATGTTTCCTCCGACTTTCGAAGCTGTTGACTCTGCCAAGACTGCGCTGAGGGAGTTTCCTGCCCGACATTTCGAAATTTACATGTGCTTACGTGGTAGTTCATGGAGCACAAAAGTCTTGTACAGTATGTTTCGTGGTTGGTGGGCAGTTTTTGCTCTCATAGCCGACGAACGCTGTTTTGAGCACAGGAGATACGGCTTTTTGCTTTCTGGGCAGTCGGGTTAGGCTCCGTGCTCGCCCCTCGGGCAGGTCTGATTTCTGCTCAGCCCCTCAACCAGTCGGGGCTAGTGCATACAGACACCCGCGGGTCCCCCCCGAATTCATCGTTGCCAGGCGTGCGTCGCTCGCGACTCTACCGCTACGAAAGAAAAGAAAGAGTTAGACAAAGTCTTTTCAGTCGAAACACTGTTTCTTTTTTGAAAAATGGCATGCATCTACATCTATATCGTACATACAAATATGTCATGCAGCAGGCCTATCGGGTGCCACTCAAAGGTACTGTCTGCTGCTCCCTCGCCTCCCTGCTCTTTGGCACGAGGCTGACGAGGCTCGAAGGGTATCCCCGCGCCTTCAAGCGAGAGGCCAACACGGCAGAAGCCCTCTCAGCCCTTCTCTCCGCCCTTCTCGGGCCCTTCTCGGGCCCTTCTCGGGCCCTTCTCTCCGCCCTTCTTTCGAAATTTATCGCCTCCAGGGGTCTCTGCGCGGCGGCCTGCATGACCTGAAAGGGCAACAAGAGAGAAGAGCTGAAAGCTCAGAGAAAGGCTGCCCCCTCGTAGGCCTCCTTGAAGCTGTGGAAGTTCTTGGAGGCCGTCAGCGCCTCCAGGAAGTCCCAGAACTCGGACACACGGATGCCTCAAATCACACGTAGCAGTATGCAGACGTAGCACTCACAGCAGCTTCCAGCATGAGAATGGCAGCTCTTTGGAAGGGCAGCTGCCTGGACTGGGCGGGATGAAGGAAGGCTCGCATCCGGGAAGGTAGTCATCAGGAGCTCGCAGGGCCGCAAACTCAGCACAGGCAGAAAAACTTTTTTTGAACCCCAGAAGCCCCACCAAGCCCCCCAACCCTTGGACTCTGAGAGCCCGAAACCTCTGCTAGCAAGAGATATCAAGAGATGCAAGAACACATGTTTGGGGTTCTGAAGGCCCGGCCTCCCGTAGCTGGGCCATGTGCTCGCGGAAATCTTCCAGGCCTCGAGAGCTGATAGCAGTGGCACTACATCTTTAATATCTTTAGCTGTTCTTGTGACTTTTCCTTGTTAATCTTATTGATGCTGGCAGTCACCCTGGCTGAGGCACCGGCTGAATCCTTCCTCCTGGCGCTGTTCACGCAAGGTGCTTTGAGAATGGAAAGCCCTAGGAACACTGAGCGTTTGAGATGGAGAGAGGCCCGTACCTACTGCTGTACGTTTCGCGGAGACCAAGTCGCCTGCACCACTGCCTTGAGCTGACGCTCAAAGAGCGCACTGTACTCCTCGTGCAGCTGGGTCCTGGCAAACTGTAGATCGCCCTACATGAAAACGCTTTCAACGCGTGTGAAGACAACCAGGGGACTCAGCTGCGGTCCATCGAAGCGGGCAGGAGCCATCGCGGCAGGGCGCGGCGAAGGCCGCAGCGTGGCGGTCGACGAAGTCTCGGACCTCGGGGCACAGAACCGCGAATACAGCGGGGCAGGCATGCCCGAAGGGATGTTGGCATGCCGGCACAATGCCGATCAACGCTCGCTGCGCATCGCAAACCCACGAAATGCTGGGGGTTCAGCGGCATCTGCACCAACGAACTACCGGCTCAAGCTCGCAGTACGCATTCAAGCTTGCACCACAGGTTCTGCCGAAAGCTAATGCCAGGAATCGTGCACAAAAGTTGCGCGGACTAGCCCCCTTCAGGTCATGTTATGTCATGTTCTCAGATCGGTATATTACCTCGGATTGATGGATTTCATTATCACCATCATCGTTGTCCTCCTCCTTCTCCTCCTCCTCCTCCTCATGATCATCATCGCCGTTGCCATTCCATGTTCACGTTTGGTATCTTCCTTTTTGCTCTTCAAATATAGTATTCATGATCGTTTTTAGGGGCATTGGAAGGTGTCTGGGCTCGACACCTCCCTGGCAAAGGGCGGCTCGCAGAGCCCGCGGAGGAAGGGCGCCAGCTGCCAGTCCACCAGGCAAGCGGCGGCCTTGCCAAGGGGCCAAGGCATCAAGCGGTACAAGCAGTCCAAGTCGGAAACAGGGCGGGGGTGGGGGGGGGGGCGGGCCAGGGGGGGGGCCAGGGGGGGGGCCAGGGGCGGGGGGGGGGGGGAGGGGGGCAGCGAATCACAGCGAAGGCAGCGAACTTCGAACCTCGTTCATCCGAAGGTGCCCACCGCGATGGGGCGCAACTAAAACAACTAAGCAGCCTTCCGTTTCCCCGAAATACTTGAGCTGACGAAGCTGCCAAGCGTACCACATTCACCGCTGCGGCCCCGAGACGAGCACAGAGCATGGAACACCAACGCGAGAGCACGACACTGCATGAGGCTTCACGTAAAACCAAGTGAACCCGAACCCTACCAAACTCAAACGTCCCCAAAACCACGAAGAATCAAGCCCTAAGCCCTCTGCCAAGTTCAAGCAGTCGAGTTTCAAGCTTTCGGCTTCAGAGGACTTCGGGGAAACAAGCCCGTGCTGCTAAGTTTTGTTCTTGGTGTAGATATCAGTCCTTCGTGCACGGAGCTCTTGAAACTTCCACAATGCTTGCGTGGAAAACACTGATGGACGCACACGGTTTGGAGAGTCCATGCAGCCATGACCTGAAAGCATGGAAATCATGGAGGGGTGCTCAGCTGGCCTTGATGTCAGAACTCTGATAAATGCTTTGGTCACAGCAGCCCACATTGCAAGCTTCCCTTTTCGCAGGGCGCCGGCTCGGTCTCGGAAGCTGAGCACGAGGCCTGAAATGAAGGTTCGGAGTTGATGAGTCCAAAGATCTCGGAACGTAATCCTTTCGTGCCTGTTGCCCCGGTTTTGCTAAACCAAGACTTCGCTTGCGTCTGGGCTTGGGTTTCTCAAGCTTCAAGCGTACCGGCTGAGGGACTCAAGGCTGCTCGACATCCTAGACCAATGCTCGACTCAGGCTTAGAGGTTAAAGCCTTCGAATCGCAGTTGACTTCCAGAGGTCGTGCCCAACTCAATAGGAGAAGCCGTCCATGGGCGCCCATGAAAGCACGAACCTAAAAAAAACAACAAAAAAGGTGCTCGGGCCTGCGCCTTGCCGCCATATGTCCTGCGTGCTGGAACATATAGGCAATTTGCGTTTTCAGTTGGCCTTCTTGCCTACAATTCATACACACTTCCTCTCAAGCAGCAAGCCGAACTCAACATTCGCAACCAGCTCCCGTGTCCCCCCGCGAACGGCTCATCTGAACCTTGTTGAATTCGGAAAGGACGCAGGTATCACTAGATGCGTATTCCACAACTCCTTTCATTCCGCCAGCTTGGTCATCCCCGCCGTGCTAGGCTGGAGGAGTGCGAACACTGTGGACAGCTGAGGCAAGTTACTTCCCATCCCCCTTAACTGCAAGCCCGAAGACCCGACTCTGTTGCGCCACAGGAGCAAGCCGTCGCACAGAACGGCACAGAACGGAGAGAGAGGGGCTTTCTCCGAGTCCCGGGAGTTCCATAGTCTTGGTGAATAGGTTTGAATTGGGCAGGTCCTAAAGGACCTGGGCACCAGGGTCGAGCACCGTTCCCGAAGAAAGCGCAAAATCTTTTGGAAATCTGTACATCCTGGCACACCCGCGCAGAGATGGCCGGGTCAAAACTGTCGAAATGAACAAACACTTAGCGGCTGTCAGACGCACGCAGCGGAGAGGCGGTGTAGTTGGCCCAGTCACCCCAAGCACTGCCGGTCAAACCATCCTTCATGCAGACAATGCTCCGCGACATGACATGCTCGTAGAAACGCCCTAACTGCATGCAACGACTGACACAAGCTTCGACAAGCTTGTGCTGTCACGTCTCCTGAAAGAACATGCCGATGATGGCCATCATCGCAAGTCTTCCGTTCGCAAGCTCCGCCGAGAGCTTCTTAGTCTTCTCAGCCGGGTCGCTGGAGGTCAAGACCTTGAAGCCGAAGTCACCTGCTGCAGCCGCCGTGCCGGGCGACTGATCCTGGGAAACCTCGCAGAACGCCATGTAGGCAAGGATTTGACCCCAACCTGCGGCGGGAACTTTGGAGATCGCAGCAAGGCCGTTTGGCACGTCCGCGAACTTCAAGCCGGCCGATGGGCTCAAGTATCCAGGGAACTTGCCAGTGATCCTCGGCGCTTCTACGCATGAAAAGTACAGATCCAAAACCATGCAAGAAGCTGTGCAAAACACATCTGTTGATGGCGCAGCATCACGACGTGAAGGTAGCACAAAGAAATACAATAAAAAGAACGAGAGCCCCACCACACGATGCCATGAAGAATGTCAACAGCCCAGATCTATGCCACAGGCCGTGCAAGCACAAAACTAACACGGCATGAGCTTTTCTCCCTCTCCTCTGCCCATCCCTGTCGCAACCCTTCCAGCAAGTTGCTCAGGAGTAATGTAGCCCATCGCCGCCAGCATGGCCTTGAATTTGCTTCAGTGGCTGAGTGGCCTACCCAACAAAGCAAGAAGCAAAAAGCTCAAGATGAGCTCTGCGTCGTCGCGTTCTCCTACATGTGGGCTTGACTCTCCAACCACGATGAATACCACGATCATCCGAGTTGCAATGCGGCCATGCTTGATCTCGGTCTGGCGGCGGCGCTTGAAGTCCTCCACGCTGCCATCGGCGGTGAAGCCAGCCGGGTCCCAGAATCCGACGGGATCCTGAACACCAAGCTCGTTCTCGAACGCGCGGAGCGGCGAGGCAGTGTAGTTGGCCCAGTCACCCCAGGCGCTTCCGGTCAGGCCGTCCTATGAACCAAACATCATATTCACAGGCAACAGCATTCTGCACACAAATGTTGACTTGCATTCTTCCTCCAAAATCGCACGTGAAGTCATCGCAACAAGACGCGCATGTCATAATCCCCCGCCTGAAAGAACATGCCGATGATGGCCATCATCGCAAGTCTTCCGTTCGCAAGCTCCGCCGAGAGCTTCTTAGTCTTCTCAGCCGGGTCGCTGGAGGTCAAGACCTTGAAGCCGAAGTCACCTGCTGCAGCCGCCGTGCCGGGCGACTGATCCTGGGAAACCTCGCAGAACGCCATGTAGGCAAGGATTTGACCCCAACCTGCGGCGGGAACTTTGGAGATGGCAGCAAGGCCGTTTGGCACGTCCGCGAACTTCAAGCCGGCCGATGGGCTCAAGTATCCAGGGAACTTGCCAGTGATCCTCGGCGCTTCTACGCATGAAAAGTACAGATCCAAAACCATGCAAGAAGCTGTGTAAAACACATCTGTTGATGGCGCAGCATCACGACGTGAAGGTAGCACAAAGAAATACAAAAAAAGAACGAGAGCCCCACCACACGATGCCATGAAGAATGTCAACAGCCCAGATCTATGCCACAGGCCGTGCAAGCACAAAACTAACACGGCATACGCTTTTCTCCCTCTCCTCTGCCCATCCCTGTCGTAACCCTTCCAGCAAGTTGCTCAGGAGTAATGTAGCCCATCGCCGCCAGCATGGCCTTGAATTTGCTTCAGTGGCTGAGTGGCCTACCCAACAAAGCAAGAAGCAAAAAGCTCAAGATGAGCTCTGCGTCGTCGCGTTCTCCTACATGTGGGCTTGACTCTCCAACCACGATGAATACCACGATCATCCGAGTTGCAATGCGGCCATGCTTGATCTCGGTCTGGCGGCGGCGCTTGAAGTCCTCCACGCTGCCATCGGCGGTGAAGCCAGCCGGGTCCCAGAATCCGACGGGATCCTGAACACCAAGCTCGTTCTCGAACGCTCGGAGCGGCGAGGCAGTGTAGTTGGCCCAGTCACCCCAGGCGCTTCCGGTCAGGCCGTCCTATGAACCAAACATCATATTCACAGGCAACAGCATTCTGCACACAAATGTTGACTTGCATTCTTCCTCCAAAATCGCACGTGAAGTCATCGCAACAAGACGCGCATGTCATAATCCCCCGCCTGAAAGAACATGCCGATGATGGCCATCATCGCAAGTCTTCCGTTCGCAAGCTCCGCCGAGAGCTTCTTAGTCTTCTCAGCCGGGTCGCTGGAGGTCAAGACCTTGAAGCCGAAGTCACCTGCTGCAGCCGCCGTGCCGGGCGACTGATCCTGGGAAACCTCGCAGAACGCCATGTAGGCAAGGATTTGACCCCAACCTGCGGCGGGAACTTTGGAGATCGCAGCAAGGCCGTTTGGCACGTCCGCGAACTTCAAGCCGGCCGATGGGCTCAAGTATCCAGGGAACTTGCCAGTGATCCTCGGCGCTTCTACGGATGAAAAGTACAGATCCAAAACCATGCAAGAAGCTGTGTAAAACACATCTGTTGATGGCGCAGCATCACGACGTGAAGGTAGCACAAAGAAATACAAAAAAAGAACGAGAGCCCCACCACACGATGCCATGAAGAATGTCAACAGCCCAGATCTATGCCACAGGCCGTGCAAGCACAAAACTAACACGGCATACGCTTTTCTCCCTCTCCTCTGCCCATCCCTGTCGTAACCCTTCCAGCAAGTTGCTCAGGAGTAATGTAGCCCATCGCCGCCAGCATGGCCTTGAATTTGCTTCAGTGGCTGAGTGGCCTACCCAACAAAGCAAGAAGCAAAAAGCTCAAGATGAGCTCTGCGTCGTCGCGTTCTCCTACATGTGGGCTTGACTCTCCAACCACGATGAATACCACGATCATCCGAGTTGCAATGCGGCCATGCTTGATCTCGGTCTGGCGGCGGCGCTTGAAGTCCTCCACGCTGCCATCGGCGGTGAAGCCAGCCGGGTCCCAGAATCCGACGGGATCCTGAACACCAAGCTCGTTCTCGAACGCTCGGAGCGGCGAGGCAGTGTAGTTGGCCCAGTCACCCCAGGCGCTTCCGGTCAGGCCGTCCTATGAACCAAACATCATATTCACAGGCAACAGCATTCTGCACACAAATGTTGACTTGCATTCTTCCTCCAAAATCGCACGTGAAGTCATCGCAACAAGACGCGCATGTCATAATCCCCCGCCTGAAAGAACATGCCGATGATGGCCATCATCGCAAGTCTTCCGTTCGCAAGCTCCGCCGAGAGCTTCTTAGTCTTCTCAGCCGGGTCGCTGGAGGTCAAGACCTTGAAGCCGAAGTCACCTGCTGCAGCCGCCGTGCCGGGCGACTGATCCTGGGAAACCTCGCAGAACGCCATGTAGGCAAGGATTTGACCCCAACCTGCGGCGGGAACTTTGGAGATCGCAGCAAGGCCGTTTGGCACGTCCGCGAACTTCAAGCCGGCCGATGGGCTCAAGTATCCAGGGAACTTGCCAGTGATCCTCGGCGCTTCTACG